TCTCTTCCTGGAAATGAAGTGTGTAACATTTTGGACAATGGGTAAAAGGAGGGAAGATGGGTGACCATTTTCTAGACATGGTTAGTTTGTGTTGCTCCTATTCTTTCAGGTCTGTAGAAGAGGCAAAGGGTGAGGCGTGAAGGAAGTGCGTCCCTAGCTAGAGAGCCTGTCAGCACCTACCTGTTGGACAGCGCCAAAGTAGCTACTGGAATTCTTCTTTCCCATCGCTTATAGATCAAGATTGACTGGGCTCTATAAATTGTACAGTTAAAAAAAAATAAATAAAAACAGGAAAACAAATGTGACAAGCCTTACTATCAAGGAAGTTCACATACAGGGCATTTGCTGTTTGATAAATTGCTAGGTATGAAAGAAATATGAAATGTTTTGAAAAATTCTGAAGCTCTTCTAGCTCATCTGTAAAATGTGAAAGGTGATCTATCTGAGTGCTACGTGTGCTAGATCTTGTGCCTAGAATTTGTACATATATCATGTAACCCTCACAATAACGCTAGGAGGTAATTACTATCTTAGTTTACATACATACATATTGAGGCCCAGGGAATTTCAGTGACTTGGCCAAAATGGTCCAACTAGCGAGCAGGTGAGCCAGTATCAAAACCAGGATGTTCAGTTCAGAGTCTATGGATTTTCTGTTTTACTTTGCTGCTTCTCATCTAAGTTTAAGGCTAGAATAGACTTTAGAAACCATTTTATACTCTCATTTTACAGATGAGAACACTGTGCTAGAGGATTTAAAGTGACTGACTTAGTGGTGGAGTTATGCTTAGAATTCAATTTTCTTGAACAATTTTTTAAAGAATAAATAATTGCAGAATGTTACACTGGTGTTTTAAATAGCCTAGTAATTACAGAAGCTCAATAGGTCTTAGAACCATATCTTAAAGAATAAGAACTACTAACTGGGTATTCTGTGTCACTGTTTTGGATTCCAGACACTTTTTGAATTAAAGAGTTTTCGCCACCTTGGGCTTCTTTATTTGCTAGCTGTATTCTGAAATTATTTTGGAACTGCCATTTTGGGCAGTATTTCACATCCTAATTGCTAAATTTTACTATCAAACTTTCCTCTGTGCAGATTAACTGTTTTGTTATTTTGCTCCACATCTGCTAAATAGTTATTTCCTCCCCCAACACTCCTTATCCTTGCCTTTTGCCGTTTACTGGTGTTTTATGTCATGTAATTTCTACTTCCTTATTTTGGTAAGATTAGAAGAACAATATTTCAGTTGGGAGTAAATGTCCTGTGCCTTCCCGTTTCTCCTTACTTGTTCCTATGCATCCTTAAGCTTCGTCTTCTCCCAGAAGTCATCTCTGAATAACCCACTTGGGATAGGTGTCCTCTTTTTTTCTCACTGCACACTGTGATATTTTTAAACCTTTCCATACAAATTATGGATTACCTGCCACATGCCAGATCTAGTTACTCTCGTGAACAAATGCATTCCTTGACCTGAAGGAACTTAGAGTGGAGATGGGGAGGCAGACAATTAGACAGACAGGTGCAATCTGATTGAATACCTTTTTTTAAAGCTCACATGTGAGTGTTTATTATGTAGCAGGCATTGTGCTAAGCACTTTACATGCATTATTTCATGTCATTCTCTCAATAACCTTATCATCCCCATTTTACAGAGAAGGAAGAGGAAGTTAGAGAACTTCTGTGCTTTGCCCAAGGTCTGTTAAGTCTCTCAGAATTGCTACCCAAATCCAGGTCTAGCTCAAACCTCTTAATCACTACGCCTTTTGTACTAACTGCTGCCTCTTCACAGGTCAGAGGCGCTTTTGCCTGTCTCTCCCTGGTGCCCTCATACACAAGGCACAGGGAGATGAATGCCAGTGTTGGGATTCAGAAACTAATAATGCCTTTACAGTTGGACAGTCACTTTAACTGATCAGGATCTTCCCTCAGAGACTTCATAAGTATTCATTATACTAACACGTGTAGAACAATGTATATCCAAAGTTATTCATCACAGTGTTTCTTATTATAACAGAAGATTAGAAATAACCAAATGTTTATCAACAAAAGATTGATTAGGTAAATTCTGATATATTCATACAATGAAATGATGCAGCTGTAATAAAGAATGAGGAGATGATATATGGATAGGGAACAATGTAAAAGGTGTAGTGTTATGTGGAATAAACAAGATTTAGAAAAGATGCTATTTTGTATAGAATCAGTAGTATGTTGCTATTTGTGGTTGGAGAGGCAGAGAGTATGTTTTTGTTTGTATGTGCATAAAGTATCTTTGGAAGAGTAGACAAGAAGTTGATAATTCAGGTTGCTTCTGAAGAGTGGCTACGGGACTCCAGGTAGGGTGATTGTCCACTGTGTACCTTTTTTGTGCCTTTTGAATTTTGAGCCAACTGAATTTACTACCTATTACAAAAGATATAAATAAAATTAAAAGAAATAATAAGCACCTTTCTAGAAATGAAAACAAATGCAGAAAGGCCTTCTGGGCTGTGTATGTTTCCTGAGTACATAAGATGAGCCTGGCTTGATCCTGGCTGCATCCCAGTGCCTAGCATAGTATGTACTTGAGTGTTTGTGCAACCGATGAACCAAGGTGAAAAAAAAATATATCAAATTCCTGTATAGGAAGGACACAACATCTCTTTTGTGGTATTCCTGGTAAAAATACATATCCTGAATCTAACCATGAAGAAACGTCAGACAAACTCAAACTGAGGGACATTCTGAAAAATAAATGGCCTATGCATTTCAAAAATGTCAAGGTCAGGGAGGACTATGAAAGACTGGGGACTGTTCCAGTCCAAGGGAAGTGAAGGGACAGGAAGCTAATGCACGGTGTGCGATGCCAGATTGGATCCTGGGCCAGAAAAAAAGTTGTTTCTTTTTCTATAAAGGACATTAATTAGACAATCAGCAAAATTGGAATGAGGTCTGTAAATTAGCTAATAGTATTGTTTCAATGTTAACTTCCTAATTTTGATAGCAGTACTGTGGTTATGTTATGAGAAAATGTCTTGTTTTTAGGAATAGGCACTTAAGAATTTAGAGTAAAGGGGCATTGTGTCTGCAGCTTGCTCTTCAATGATTCAGATAAAAAGAGAGAAAGAATAATAAAGTAAACATGGTGAAATGTTAACTTTGGAGGAATTTGAGTGAAAAAATACAGGAATTCTTTGTACTATTTTTCCTGCTTTTCTATAAAAATTATTTCAAAATAAAAAATTTTAAAAAATGCTTCTTGTGTGAGACATTTTATGATTTTGTAATACGGAGCCATCTATGTCCTTTTGTACAATTTTGTGGTTTTCTTCATATAGATCTTTATATTCTTAGTGACATTTATTCTTAGGTTTCTTTTTTTTTTTGGTGAAGAAGATTGCGCCTGAGCTAACATCTGTTGCCAATCTTCCTCTTTTTTGCTTGAGGAAGATTGTCCCTGAGCTAACATCTGTGCTAATCTTCCTCTATTTTGTATGTAGGATGCTGCCACAGCATAGCTTGATGAGTGGTGTGTAGGTCTGCGCCCAGGATCTGAACCAGCAAACCCCGGGCCGCCGAAGTGGAGTGTGTGAATTTAACCATTACTCCACTGGGCCAGCCCCTTTTCCTAGGTTTCTTAATA